CCCCAGCGCTGTTCCCCTCCCCCAATTCCCCAATAAAATCTTTTTAAAAAACCAAAATAACAGAACAGCAGACACTTTTGTGGTCAGGCTGGATTATAGAATGCATTGAAGAAAGTGGTGGGAGATCCTAAGAAATAATTGTCTGGGACAAAATTCAGTAGGGCATAGATCTCAAGCTAAAGAGTGTAAATTTTATTGTACATGAAATACAGCATCATTAAGATTTTTTAATACAGGGAAACGTATCAGCTATGTTTCAGGAAGATTAATTTGACAATACAAGAGACAAAACATTGAAAGGAAAATATTATATGATAAAAAATATGAGATTTTAAACTAATTTTACTTTAAAAAAATACATTTCAGTGTTCCTATATCCACTGATAAGAGTTTCTCTATACCATTTATATAGGAGGCAAAAGAACATCTCTGGACATATAAGAGTTTGTAGTAGTTATAGAATTATCTTCTACAAGAATGTTTTTTTCTTTTTTAATCTGGCATTCTGTACTTCATGCATTTTCTGAGCACCTAAAATGTATATGCAATGAAAGTTTGGTAAGTATCACTCTCATCAGTACAGTGCAAATATAAGTAAACCATGAAGGATTTTTCAAGACAGACTGCACGGATCCTACTAAACTTTCTGGGTCATATGTACTAATGATGCCGATTCTTCTCAGCTTCTGTGGCATCACTTTCTCTTATTTGCTCCACACCTCTCTGGCAAATCCTTAGCCTCATTTCTTATACCAAATCTCTTATTGCTGAAGTTCCTCAAGGGGTCAGAACTGAGCTCTCTTCTCTTCCTGGGTGAACTCATCAATTACCAATGTATGGAACACTATCTATATGCTGATGACCAACAAAAACATGTCTCTAGCTGGGACCTTTCTTCTGAGCTTCAGATTCAAGCACCCAGGACACAGCTAACCCTTACAGCATTTTTTGAAGAAATTAGAAAAAGATGGCCCTTCCTTAATTACAAAAAATTTAAGTCATTATATATTATGGTATTAATACAACACAAACAACTATACATGGGGGTCATTCTCCTCACAAATATTTCTAGGTAACCAGAGAACACACACTACCAGCAGTAGCACACACATGCATACTCTTCACTACCACCCTTCATTCTTCAAGAAAGGTGACTATGGCAGGTTCAGGTTCAGGTGGTGAACAATAATGAAGTTTCTGAGAGGAGTGGGTGTAGGAGCAAGAGAATCAACCGCAGTAGAGCAGAGAGGCAGTTGAAAGAGTGTAGCCACACGCATGTGTGTATGCCAATGAGTGTATATGTACTTATTTTCCTGCCTTTGTGCACAGCTGTAGGATGTGCACATGTAGATTTATGTTTGGGGCAGGAAGAGTTAACTCTATTGCTCCAGGTCTCTAGCAGGAGATCTGGAACCTTCATGCTCACCTGTGTTTTCATAACACAACAGCATGTTTATGATGTGAATAGTGCCACTTTCTTTGTGGTGCCCTTGCAAACTGACTCTGCCTACAATGAAATGCAGATTTAACATCTCTATGTGATGTGGAACAGGAATCTCATTTTTAACATCTTCAAAGCAGACATTTTGATCATCTTCCTCAAATCTGCTTCTTTCTCTGACTTTTCCATTTCAGTAAATGGCACCTCTGTTCACCCAGGTGCTTATCCTAGAAAACTACAAATCATTTTTTACATATCCTTCTCCCTCACCACAGTCTATTGCTAAGTCCAGGAGGAACTATTTCCTAAAAACAAGGTGGCTGTCCCCACGTCTCTCCATCTCTATCACACTCCTCTTCTAGATGCCACCGGCACTGACTACTGCAACAGCCTTCTAACTCACTCGTGTCCTCACTTCCACTTCTTGACCCTCCCCATCCCCACCTTGGCTCCCTGCCTTCCCATCTACAAGCCATTCTCCATATAGCAGCCAGAATAAATTTTACAAATGTGAATCAAACCACAGTTGCCTACTAGAATAAAATTCAAGTGTTTTAATATGGTTTACAAGGCCCTGCGTGTCCTTGGATCTACCTGTTTTAATCATATCTAGCTACCACTCTGCTCTACCCATGCTGCCTTCTTCTCATTGGTCAAATGCATCAAACTTCCCCGCTTCAGGAGCACTGCCCATACCGTTCTCTCTGGCCAGGCCACACTCTCTCCACTCTGCCTGACTAACTCACCTTTGTCCTCCAGGTCTTACCTCAAAAGTTTCTTCCTTGGAAAAGCCTTCATGAGGTCCTAAAATTAAACTGGGTCCTCTTATTATTCTCTTAAGACTCTTTATTTTCTTAACATTATTTATAATTACAAGATGTGATCAAAAGACATGGTGAATGTTTAAATTAAAAAAAAATGTATTCCTATAAAAGTCACATTGCCATTTATCCCCCTCAAAATACTCCTCCTCACTTCCAACACACTCATCCCATCATTCTTGCACTTTATGAAGCAGTTCTGGAAGTCTTCTTTTGTGAGTGTCTTTACTTCATCCTCCATAATGACAACGCTCTGTGTCACACACCACTTCTGGTACGGCAATTTCTGTCAAATGAAAACATTACAGTGTGTCCTCATCCGCCTTATTCACCGGATCTGGCACTGTGCAACTTCTGGCTCTTCCCGAAAGTCAAAATAACCATGAAAAGGAAATGTTTTCAATCGATTCAGGACATCGAGGCAGCCACGACAGTACAACTAAAGACATTCATGAAAGAGGACTCCAGAACTGCTTTAGAAAGTGGCAAGAACAATGGGATTAATGTGTTCGAAATGAGGGGGAATTTTTTTTTTAAGATTTTTATTGGGGAATTGGGGGGATGGGAACAGCAGTGGGGAATCGAGGAAGGAGAACAGACACATTGCTGTCCTTTTGTTCTTCAGTCTAGCTGTGGAGGATGTCACTTTACTGGCCCATGTTGGTATTATCATTGCGCTCTTCCCGGGTGAGGCAGTGGCTCGCCAGCCATTGGATGGCTGCTGACTGCAGCTCACAGCAGCTCACGAAAGGTCACACCCACTGCCGGCCAGCCCCACTGCAGCCTACACTGTTGCTGGCGACTCAAGGCAGTGAGCTCCAGGTTGAGCTGCTGTTCACCATCTTAGTTGTAGAAGGCACAGCGTCACTGGCCCTCATGTGGGATCTGAACCGGGGCCCTACTGCTCAGAGCTGGCATCCCAAGACAACGCCTAACCAACACGCCACTTGGCCGGCCCTACTAATTTATTTACTTTTTAATTAAAGTTTATTGGGGTGACAATTGTTAGCAAAGTTATATAGATTTCAGGTGTGATAATGTTTATTGATGCACAAAAATTTTTAATTTTGATAAAGTCTAATTTATTTTTTCTCTTGTTGACTTCCTTTTGGTATCATATTAGAATTTAATTCCTATAGTGACTTTTACCATACATTTTTGAGTTATTTTCTTAGTGGTTGTCCTGTAAATTACCATGCACATCTTCACAGAAATTAACAATCTATTGGGATCAATACCAATTTCACTAATATACAGAAACTTTTTTCTTGTATAGGTATCGCCTCTCTTCTTTATGTGTTTTATTTCTACAAGTTACATCTTTATACACTGTTTCCAGTAACATAGATTTATAATTATTGCTTTATGCATCTGTATGTTAAGTCATATAGGAGAGAAAATGTATTTACAACAAAAATACATTTATACTGCCTTGTATTTTCCTATGTAATTACCTTTACTGGTACTCTTTCTCTCAAGTGGATTCGAGTTACTGTCTAGTGTCCTTTCATTTCATCCTGAAGAATCTCTTTAGTATGTCTTGTAGGTCAGTTTGCTAGCAATGAACTCTCAGTTTTTATCTGACAATGTCTTAATTTCTCTTTGTTTTGAAGGGTAGTTCTGCTGGATACAGGATTCTTGGTAGACAGTTTTTCTTTCAGCTCTTTGAATATGTCATTGAAATGCAATAATTTTCAAGTTCACTCATTCTTCTGCCTCCTCAAATCTGATGAGTTACTCTAGTGAATTTTTAATTTTAGTTATTGTACTTTTCAACTCTAGAATTTCTAATTTGGTTTCTTTTTGTAATGTCTATTTATTTACTGATATTCTCTATTTGGCAAGACACTGCTTTCATATGTCCTTTAGTTCTTTAGACATTGTTTCATTTATGAAACATGTTCTCTGAACATATTCTAAATACCTAATTTAAAGTCTTTGTTTAGTAAGTTCAAAGTCTGGGATTCCTCAGGAACAGTTTCTAAGCTGCTATTTTTCTTGTGTATAAACCTACATATTTTTAAAATTTCTATATCCTGTAAATTTTCGTTGAAAACTGGACATCTTAAATAACATGCAGCAGCTCTGGAAATCAAATTCTACTCCCTCCCTAGGGTTTGCAGTTGTTGCTTTGTTTTTTTAACTAACTTTTCTAAATTAATTCTGTAAAGTCTAATGAAGTTTCTATTCAACTAGTATAGTGGTCAGATAATCCCTTGACAGAGAGATCCTTAAACATTCCGAACCAATAAATCTTCCAGTCTTTCCTGAGGGCCTGTGTGCATGCGTATGTCAGGGTATGCCTTGAACACTGAGCCAGGCTGATGTCAACTCTGGCTTAGCCTTCCCTTTCTTCTTTCACAGAGCTTCAAGGGCAGTCACAAGTAAAGGGCAGGGCCTTCTGAGGTCTTTCCTGAGCATGCATGCAGGCCTATGCATGGGTGGGTTTTTCTAGAGTCTCAGGAAAATGTCAAAGCTTTTCACATCTATGGACAGCTCAACTTCAGTTTTTCCTTTTCAGCTTTTGGTTAATCTAGTGTCTTCCTCAACTGTTATCCACCACCTCCAGCATTATGACATTAAACCACTTGCCTATAAATGTTTTTGACAGCCCCCCCCCCCCCCC